TTTTTAATAAAATGGGTTTTTGTATGATAAGAGGTAAGTGAGATGGATCGATGCTCTTTTGCAATTTTCAGAGAACCAGTGTTCGTTGATACTGTGACACGTTCAGGTTTGACACGTTCAGGAAATTTAGCGAGAAATCGATATTTTTTTTTTTTTTTTTTTTTTCAATTTTTCGAGTGTAATTGATTGCGTTGTGGAATAGCTGTTAAATTTTCACTAATGGTATTTGGAATACCTGCGAACTGGGTCGAACGTGCCAGTATTCTCGATTTCGGTAAAAATTACTCCTCTGTTTCGCGATATTTCGGCAAGAGACGTTTTCCACTTTATCAAATGTATATAAAAACATATTTGATAATATATCATTGTATAATATATCTTTTTAGTATTACTCGAGGAATTTAAAAAATACGATCAATCAGAATAGTTTAACATGCAGCTGTCAAATATCGAATATTTTATAGACACTGATGTGTTTATTGGTCAATATTGTACAAATTCTGGAGAAATGACAATGTATCCTCATATTTTAATCGAAATGAAATAATCATGAAATCTACATGGTACAACTCAAAGTTAAGAAAATGCATTCTTATTATTATTATAATTACAATTAAAATAAATTTCATTTGTATGAAATTTTCCATTTATTTATATGTTCTTCTCAATATGAGAAACATACTATGTTTTTCTAATTTTAACTAACAAATTAATTGAAATCGATAATGTATCCAAGACACTTGTTTTTGTTCTTCTAAGTATTTGAAATTTCACAGACGTATGCACAGAATTTGATGGCTGACTGTAAAATTAAAATTAATTATCGTAACGCGAACTTATAAAAATTAAAATAAAATATTATGACCACGTCGAATGCAATGACATCGATTTAAAATTGATAAAATAATTCGTCACATTGTATCTCTATACATCAAACAATCGAATTTCCAATCGGACGACAAAGACAAACCTTGGAAAACGTCTCTTACGATTCAATCACTGCACTCATTGTCGCGTCACAAGATCGTGCAGCATCTTGTTGCATTTTGTCGCCTGATTTACTCACCATCCATTCATCTTCCACCCTTCTTCTTTCATTTTCTCACGTCACGTTTACTCAAAGTGTATCACGAACATACAAAACACGAAATCGATTTTGAATACAATTTACACGAAAATTGAACGAACGAAAATAATATATATATATATATATATGTACGAGTTCGTTTCTAGGTTCTATAACACTAACAACAACAACAATAATAATAGTAGTATTAAGCAACGACGACACCAACGACAACGATACATCGTTTAAATGCGATGCCACATTAAAAATCCATCCGAATCTGGCCGGAATTTCTTTTCAGGTTTGCCGTTTGTGTTTCAGGCTAAAGCACCCGCCCTGGAGGTAGGAATTTTAAGGGTCCGCCCTGAGTGATCTCTCTCTTCGCCCGTTGTTTGTCTATATTATTATTATTTTTTTCTCCTGTTTTTTTTCCCCCACTCCGTTATTCTTCAACTACTTAACCCCTTTATTTTTGTTTCTTCTCTCCTGTCCGGTATTTTTTTTCTTTTCTTTTTTTTTCTCCTTTTGTTTTTTTCTTGGTGGTTTCTCTCGTTTGGACCTGGCCGATCAGGAGTGCTCACCGATCATCGTACCAACGTCTCTCATAATCTGTATCACACTTTACTTTCTTACTTCGTTCGATATCGATAATTTATCTTTCGTTTCTTTCTCTTTTTCTTTGTCCGGCAATTGCTTACAAAAAGGGAAGCCAGCTCTGATCTCAATGATTCTTTGATATGTTGGTCAAGGTTTATTGAAAAATTTTGATTTTTCGTGCGACATACAATACTTGTATATTATGGGAATATATACATGCACATGTACTTCATCTCATAAGATAATTTCTAGATAAATTATATACATTTGTGTTTGTAAGTTTATATATATATATATATATATATACATTTAATTGCAAATTATAAATTAGAATACGAATTACAGTTCAAATTAAATTTGAGGTAGATTATATTCATAATCACCAAGTAAATTCTATTTGACCGTAACTACTTAATAAAGTTTCACGATATTACTCAGAATAATGACCTTAACAGTGTACTTGTATTAAGAAATCATCAAGATCGAAGGAGCGGGGAGATTTCCTTTTCATAAGTAATTACTTTCTGTTCTTCCGATCCTAAGTATTATAAATATTGTCTCTGTCGTTGCGGTTCTTTAAGCTTCTTCCTCTGTTCTATGCATCTCGTTCCCGAATGTTTAATATCTATCTATCTCCTGTTCACACTCTTCTTGATTTTTTGAATCAGTGTAAAGCATGTGATTGGTAGTTTTTTTGTTTTTACTTTACTCGTTATATTATCATTTTCTCTCGTTTCTTACTTACCTTTTATTCTTCACTATTAGAAAGTGATATATTCTTACTCTCTGTTCCGTTTGTCGCTTTTCACGTAGGCGTACACGCGATATATTGTATCTTGAGAGTATTAGAGTATATAGGAAGTAATGTGTGTATTATAATTTCTCCAACGAAGGAAACAAGAAAAGTTTCTCGCCGACGACTGCAATTTTTGTCTGTTACGAGATCGCCGAAATATCATCTCGACTACTGTTTTCGAGTACATTCGCACAACGTACGTGATAGTTCTCATTTCGAAGCGATGCAGAAACAACCGGATGTGACAATTTATTATCTTCTCTTCTTTTTTCTTTTCCTTTGATTCTTGTCTTTGATAGTTCATAAAGTGTTAGTTATCAATTTATTTAATTTTTTATGAATGTTAATAATGACTATTTTTATGAATTATGAATTATGACTGTTTTATGAATATTAATAATGAGCTTACATTGAATGAAGTTATGAAACAATTTGTATAATGCTTATGAACAGCAATGCCAATCAATCAGTCTTGCTCAAAAGTTTGGAACATGCATTCTACGATGGACTTTATCTTCGTGAATACATCTATTGTCTAACTATTCTCAGTTCTCAGAAAAATGTAGTACAAAAATTGATTTCGTCCAAAATTACCATTCATTTTACTACTTTGTACAAATCTGCAATTATTGAAATATTCTCAGTTGTTTGTTTCATTTGAAAAAATGAAAATTTAAATTTTCAATGAACATATATAATCACTGTCAGTATTGTAATTAAAAACATCTAAGTTCAATCATACAAATAAATCTACAGTTTCATTGTCGATTGGCTGTCACCGATTTTCACAAAATAATTCTATTGAAAATATTAGTATTTCCACAATGGTATTAAATAATTATTTTCATTTACGTTATATTATGTTACTAAAAAATTTATCCCGTGAAGAAGAACAATGACCATGCTCCAAACTTTCTCTCGGATTTTCTTGCGTTCTAAAATCCTAACGAGTGTAAAAAAGAATAGGAAACAGACTTGCTCGCTCGAGAGATTCGAGATTCCCATTGTTTCTGCATCCCTCCTCCTCCATTAACACAGAGACGAGACACGTCTGAGCTGCGAGCAAACCGGCTGCAATTGGTGAGCACTCCGCAGAGCCGGCGAGTATCTTAGAAAGAGTTGTTTAGCTAGTTTAGAGAGTTGCCCCGAGTTCATCCATTCCCCTCCACAAACAGCCGCCGACACCCCATGGCGACAGATTCATCCCCGCCCCCCCCCCCCTTGAAATTAGTTCTCTGCCGGCGACTTAATCGAGAACGTGTTAGCCACCCCTGGCTGTCTCGCGACGGGGGTGGTTTCTCTAAGCTTTTGACGAAAACGAGCGTGGATGTAGCGAACTGCTGGAATTCGAGATGCTCGAGTACGACGCCTCGAGTACCTCCGTCGTTCGATCCTCGAAACCGTCGAGTCCAATCATCCTCCCCAAATGTCAAGCTTGAAAGCTTTTCGAGGAATTGACGATTGAGAATTATGGAGAGAGTTATTTGCAATTTCACAGAGTTTTCGACTCGTGTTCTCTTCTTTTTTTTTTTTTTTTTTGAGTTCCATTGGAATTTCGAGGTTTACGTACGTAATTACGTGAACGACGTTCAGCTACATACGTGATTGCGTAAGCTGTATATACAGGCTGTGGATTATTATGCAAATTTTCGAATAGAATTTCGTTTTGGCATTTTGAGAATTGTAACGAGCAGCATTTCACCGGGGAATTCTTATTGATTTGAACTCTTTGGGATTTTAACTCGTGTCTGACCAGCGTTCGACCAGATCTACTAATGTCGGTACGTGAATTCTAACTTTACGAACGTAACGTCAGAGAAACTTTCAGGGAAACTCTGGCATAAAATAAGAGATTCTACTTATCTTCAGATTAATTCATTCCTTTACAATAGAAAAATTTGATTTTCCGAGATTTGCTGAAAAATTTAAGTAATCGTATAAAGATCCGCAGTCTGTATGTAATATTTCATTTCGCAATGATATCCAAGACAAACTTACGTGAACCAAATATAATGTCATTGATCTTATCACTAAAGTATAACATTAGTACATTAAAGTGTAATATTATCATCTTGAATTTTACATCTTGATCGAGTCTTTCATATTCTATATACAGATATATTTTTGATATCAGAAACAAATTCAATTACAAATTGTACAAAAATCGTAAATACTGCGCTGCCGGAGGATTAAATATTACAGTTATTTCGAGCATATCGATTTTCACAGCAAGAAACTTTCCACGATAGATACATTCCACCGTAGTTGCGTTCACCTCACGCATTATGTACATATGTACTACGTAGCTTGTTCGAATCGGTGATCGAGCTTCGAAGGGATTCTCACGATCTGACGTGGAAATCTCACCCCTTATATCTGTGTAGAGCTGAACGTGAACGTTTTTCTTTAGGAGGCATGCCTCTCTCTTTTCCTTAGGAATATTAGACACAATCATTGGAGAAAATGTCTTTTTAGCAAACGTAGAATGTCGTCGAATTCTTAGAACTCGTTAAGAGAAATTCGAAATCTCGATCCTTCGAGTGTGTTCTACTTTTTAGCAAAATTGGAGTTAGCTTTGTCGGAGTTTTTTTGATAAAGTCAGCTTGCGACAGTAGTTCCTTTTACTGTTAGTGTCATTGTTTCCAAACCAAAGGATACTCAGAGAATTTCGATTGAAATGTGAACTGAAATTCTTGAGAAGAACGAAACAAGATTATGTCGCAATAGATTAGCTTTCAATTAACAGTAATGACTGAAAATAAAAAAAAAAAAAAAACCTACAATATTACGCTCTTCTAAAAACTTTTCTAAAATATGACTTACATTTAATTAGAATTCTCATAAACCAAAAATTCTTCGTACTCTTAAATATTCTCATACTATTCGCGTCCAAGTAAGAATTAAACAGAATGAAAATATGCTCAGCAAATAAATAGACTTGCTCAGCGAATGAAATAAATAGACTTGCAACTATAATCAATGACTCTCCCCGAAGAATTTACATTTTATTTTGTTATAATTTCGCAGTATTTACGTAAAAATTAAAAAGAAAAAGAAATTACGGTAGAACAAACTTCGTTTTTAATTAAAAAGCAACGGGAGTACAAACAAGCCGATGATCAATTTCAACGTTGAACAGAATTATTGCATACATTTCATTTGCAATTTTTTTTCACCAATCGATTTACATCATTATCGCAAAACGATAATTTATATTATCAATGTCTGGTAGTATTTTAATCGGAATATTCTTGATACATTTTCACAACTTTTCACAATGTTGTGAAATAATAAAATATAAAAGACTGCAAATCATTACTTGGTACTTGATAGATAAATGAAAGCTTGTTGTCTGCCTGTTACTTCGGCATTTTATTTCATCAAAAGCAAAAGAATAACTGTCGCAACCATTTCATTGTCAACCATTTAAAAAATATTTTCCAATATTCTTGCGAACATTCACTTTGCCAACAATTGTCAATTCCCAGACTCTGAATCGACGTGAAATAAATTACAAATCGATGCAAGCGTACAAAATTCCGCTTAAGGAGAAACGGGAAAAGAAAATGAAAGAATCGCGAAAATGAGGTAACGTTGTAAATGAGCCACGAACGATCGACCAACGTACGTAGATAGAGAGGCGAGAGGACGCGTCGTAAATTTGCAAGAGTCGCGCGTGCGTTGAATCGCGGCCGCGGAATTTTCCGCGGCTAATTTCCTGCTCGAGAGCCGCGCCAACGGTTCGATCCCCATCCGGCGCCAGCATCGGCCTCGTCTTTACCCGCCTCACGAAAACCGGCCACGAGGAATCCTGCTTGTCGGCCAGGATTTACGAGCTTTTCAGGAAGAGAGCCACTGGTCCGCGTGGAAGCTCTCCCTCTTCACTCTCCATAAATCAACGTCGCGTCATTTCGCGCGTCCGACAGCTTCATTCCGGGTATTTCGCTGA